TTTACTCCCCTTAATCTCCCTCATAAAAAAAAGACAAATAAAGAGAGGGTTTGTTTCTCGTTGTGAAATGAACAAAATAAAACTGAACAAGAAGAAAAGATGTAAGAAAAATTAAGCAAAAGCTGTAAAAAAAAAACTTTTTCTGCTTTTTAAAGACTGACCGTCAGCGACAACAGTTCTTTCGATCGATTAACAGACGTTAAGAATGATTAGAAGACAGCGCTGAAAACCGACAGCAGTGAGAGTGGAAATCAATTAAGAGAAAAGAAGAAGATAAAGGTTTCAAAACAGAAGAGATGAGAGGTTTTTTGGGAAACCGTCATGAAGCTATCAAGTAAGGTTTTGAGCCCACAAGAACAAAAACCCCTAAACAGTCATCAGCGAACACATATTACAAAAAGTAGCAACTGAAACAAAAAAAAGTAGAGAGGAAGTAAAAGCAGAAAAGAAAAGTGAAAATTAATAACTGAAAGTTTGTATCAGTACAGAAAAACTGTCTTTTTTTGTCTAATAGTTATTGTTTTGAACAAAAACTATTTTTTGTAGAACAGTGAAAAAAACAGCGGTCCCTGCAAGGAGGAAGCCCCTTTTCACTTTCCTGTCTGCCAAAAAAAAAAAATAAAAAAAAAATAAAAAAAACCAAAAAAATTCTGCTGTTTTCACGACGACTACAATACGATTGCGCTGCCAATGGCTTTGACGGCGCTGCTGCCTATCAACTGTCGGCATCTTCCCATTTCGCCAGTTACCCAGCATTATTTCCTGCGCTATTCCGCCTTGCCGCTCGCTGTTTCATACACTTTCCATCACTCTAAGCCGCTTCGCTGTCTCTTTAGTTTCCTTGTTCCCAGCGGAACTTTTGTTTCTCCAATTGTCCTCCTACCTGCAGTAGCAGAAACTGGCAAAAGTGTTTGACTGCGGAATATGGTCGATTGGTATTCCACAGCAATTGACAACTGAGTGACTAAAAAAAGTCTGCTCTATCGCTTGCAACCATTTCACATACACAAGAAGTAAACAGGGCTTGAAAAAGTCGGCACCAACTCGCTGTTGCAACTGAGGTTTTATGAGCCGAAGAAATTCTCTTTGTTGGGGACAACAAAATTAAGAAGAAATGGGGGAGGTGGAGACCGAAAATGGAAAGCGAAGACAAATGCAGCCAACTTCCTCCAGTAAAGAAAGAAACCAACAAAAATAGAGGCATAAGAGTGGAAAATTAAAAAAGTTGTTCAAACAAAGCAGAATTGATATGCAGTTTCAGATAAAAGTGAAAAAAAATTGTGGTCAAAAAATAAAACCAGAATATTTCTATTTTACT